TTTAGGATTTGAAAGAGTGGCAGCAGCGGGACAGTCCTTGCGCAGCTGTCTTCTCCCCCTGTTGTTGCTGTCAGCACAAGTGGCCTTTGGGTTTAATGTTCTAAGTTGGAAGAAAAGCGGTAGCCACCTGGCCACAAATGATTTTCATGTCTATCCTTGATGGCCCCTGTCCTTTCAGCAGACCGGTGAAAGAACCTGCAGAGACCAGCTTTACTAGGTGCACCTCTCATCTGTTTCTCTAAACCTCCTTGACACATAAATAAGGCCATGACCTTTAGCCTGTAGTGTTAAAGGAAGTAGTGAAGGCTAAGTGACTGCATTGCCAGTATGCAGTACTTCCTGTGCAAGAATTAGCTAGAGGTCTAGCTAAAGGGGTCTTGGGTGTGGACTGTTGCCAACTCTTTGGTAGAAGGGCAGAGTTAAAATAGGCAGAGGAATGATGGCACTAAGCAGGCTGAGCTACTGACTTCCAGAGTGACAGAGACACCCCTTTTAGTACTTTGCTCCCCATTTCTCTGGGACAGTAATCCAAGGTGTAGAATGCCAACAGTCCACATCCCAAGCACTGTTCTGCAGATTGGAACGAGGGAGGTGTGACGCAGCCTCCTACTCTGCAAATCCAAACCTCTTTCACATGCGAACACTCTGAGAAGATTAACAGTCTGAAAAATTACTAATTTCCTTAGTGTTTTTTAAATTCTGGAACTTATCTCGGGACTTCTTCCACCTTCTGGAGATGTAAGATATAAGAAGCATTAAAAATGTGTAGAAAAGAGACTTATTTGTTTCCCTTTGCTAAGGTTTAACAAAGATATTGCCCGGAAATTCCCAAGCATCTGGCTAGGATAGTCTTTAAGGGGAAGGATTTCACCTGCTAACATGGTCTCTGCAATCTTATACCCACCTATTTGCTTGTTCTACATTGGCTTTAACCACTCAGCATTCCTTGGTCCTAGGGATCATGTTGGTACTTACAGCAGGAATGACCCTACAGGGTCACTTACTGGCAGAAAGAACCCCTTTTCCAAAGTTCTGGACTATTACAGGAATAATTAGAGAGTTAGGTAAGAAACTTTTTCTCTTTTCTTTAGGTTCAGATTACGTGGGAGGACTTTCATCCAATGTGTGG